CCCCGGTCACGGACACTTTAAACTGTTGCCCTCGGGCAAACGTTACAGCGTACACCCTGCATCAACAAACAGACTGAGAGACAGTTTCTATCCCAGGGCAATAAAAGAGCTCAACTCAGCCGCTGGGAAAGGCAGAAGGTAGCGCGCAACACACACGAACCATACAAGAACTGTGAACTACTGTGAACTGTGAACTAAATGTGCAATCATATACTGTACTCATAACCCTCACATCTGTGGATGTGGTAATGTGCAATACAACCATGTGCAATCTCATATAATATGTTTACTTTCACTCTTATACCCATAGGACCTACAATCAGACATATGCCTCTGATGTTTAGTGTATACAGTGTATACCTCCTTTGCACCTTCCGCTGTATAGTATACAGACATAGATATATATATATTTATTGCAATGTTACACATAGATGCCACATCTTCTCTTTTTTTTTTTTTTCTAAGTTGAACTGCACCTTGGGGACTGCTGTATATAATCTCGTTGTTCATGTAACAATGACAATAAAGCAAGTCTAAGTCTAAGTCTGATCCAGCACAGACTGACAGAAAACAGTGAGCTAAATACAAACAAACAGACGAGACAGCGGGGCACAACTAGACAAGACATAAGTGGCTGGAGGGTACTCAAAACCTATACACTAAACCACGGTGGGTGACTGATTAAGAGAATGCACGGATGAAGAGAATGGGGCCGAGCACACAGCCTTGAGGGACTTACAGTTGTGTTTGATGATAGTAATGGAGGTGTAGTGGATCTGTCAGACAGGTATGAGATGAACCAGGAAACTTCAGTGTTGATGATGCCAACTGATTCCAGGTGGCGAAGGATAGAGTGATTGATGGAAATGTTAGCTACAAGGAGATTGAGGAAGAGAACAGTGAGGGTACTAAGATCAGAGGAGAGAAGGAGGTCATTGGTGATTAGGGCTGTTTTTAGTGCTGCGGTAGCTTTGGAAAATGCATTGCAATGTTTAATAGAGATTGCCTGAGCGGACATATTTCTTGAGTTTTCTGGAACAGCTCTTTCGAAGATTTATGTAAGGAATAAAAATTTGATAATGGGTCTGAAATTGTCGCTCTCTCGTCAGATCACTGGGGTCGAGGTCAGGTTTTTTCGAAGAGTTCTGGCAGTAAGCATAAGCAGCTGAATTTTGGAGAGGCTAGCTGCCTTTTGTAGGGAGAAGAATGAGAGGCAGTGGGTGGGGAAAATGTAGGCTCCTTTCAGGGATGACGGCAGAAGAAATGGCCACGACTTCATTCTAGATGTTAACATTTAGTTTTCATATTTCAGGTTACACATTTTGAACAGAAGAAGAATAAGTGTATTTGCTAACAATTCACTTTTGTTTGTAGACTGAGCTACAATGCCCTCAATTGATTGAAGAGAAAATTATGATAACCCGCAACTGCAATTAAGAAATGAAAAGTTTGATTTTAGTTGGTCAAGAGTGCTATTTTATCCAGTGTATCATTTAATAAACATGCAGTATTTCATCATCACTTTCCATGAATGGTGAGATTATGGCTCTTGAAGAATTTGAACTGTTACTTGTCTTCCAAAGCTTGTTTCTTTACTCAGTCTGTTGATGATTTCCAAGCGGACCATTCAGCTTTCTCCCATTTGACTGGTCCTTGTCATAGTTCATGACTCATAGCACAGCAGAAGCTTGTCTCCCATCACTGCAGTGTTTCCGGCCACCATGTTTATGACTGATTATTGACCTCCACATGACAACTGTCATTCTCTGCTCAGGTATTGAAATGGAAGAGAGGACCAGGCAGATGAAGATGAAGATGAACAAGTACAAGCAGGGAGCTGGCTCCGACTCACGGCTGGAGCAGGACTACCACAAGGTGAAAACATATCGAAACATGGATTTGTTGAACCGTATCCATCCTAGATGAGAGTCGTGGACATATCCACCACTGCTTTGATGCTGGATGTCACACATACGTAACTAAAGAGTCACTCAATAGTGTGGACCTGTATCATGGCAGCTCTTTTAACGGCAATACAAATTGGGGCCTCATTGACAAATCTTTCTTGAAATCAAATGTGTTCTTTTGTCCCACCTATTCATTTTTAAAGAAGAATGTGGCATTCACATTTTAGATTGTCATAATTAGATAAAAGAGTTACACAGTATTATATTTTTCTTTTAATCATTTCTCTAATTTCTTCTACCTCCTATCCACGGTCAGATCGCTGCAGCAGCTACCTAAGCAGTGAAGCCCAGACCTCCTTCTCCCAGCCACTTCGTCAAGTTGGCAGGGCAACTCTCCTCCTTTGCCACTACCCCATTCCAAATCCAAAAACCGCCTTAATATTGCATAGCCAAACTCCCAAACACCCTTTCGGACCCTGCTGAGGGTGTGTAGCTGACCCTCCTTTCCTTAACCCCTGAATAGACCAGTAGGATTTTATGAGCCCCCGATAGTGTGAACTCACACTCCCTTTTTAAGAAGGTGAGTGCCTTGGTCTGCCAATCGAGAGGTGTTCCACCTTCTGCTTCATTGCGACAACCATGAAATTGATCATCGATATGTGGCCTGCACAGACGGACACCCCTGTGGGCCATCCATGATGAGGACAAAGGTCCAATAGCTAAGAACCACTGAGGTTAATGTCGAAGGGATGTCATGCCCTTCAAGGTCTCACTATCATTGCCCACATGGGAGTCCCCAGCAGTAACCCTCTCCAGTACCCCTTCCAGGGACTCCAAAAAGGGTGGGGCTCTGAGGTGATGTTTTGTGTATAAGATCCAGTGATGACAGCTTTACACTAACGTTTAAAGTAACTAGATGACTTTTTAAAGTAGTAATCAGTAATCAGATTACTTTTTCTGAGCTGACTGTGGCTCTGTGTCTCTCCCCGGGGGCAAATCCTGGCTGGAAGAGAGTCCAACCCTTCTCAAGTGGTCTAGTTCCGGAGCTCGAGCTGTGTGTTGAGGCCTGCCTGACGAAATCTTGCTAGAACCTCTTGACTTTGCATACCAGCTCAGGCGAGAGAGGTGATGTCCCACATCTCTTGAGCGAGTGATTAATTTAATCACGCCTATTGTCTTTAGACTGTTATTTGTATGTATGTTAACAACTTCCTCAAGATATATGCAAAACTCCGAGTCAGTAGCTGCTGTTTCCAAGGTACAAAGTGTAGTTGAAAGTGATCACACGATTGCAGTACTTGAATGACCGGATAGAGTTGAAGGTGCAGCAAATGAAAAATGTGTTTTCTTTCAGTCCAGTGAGTCTACTGTTGTAAACTAAAGGAACGTGACTTTGACATTTTGCAGAGTCAAGTGTTTACTACTCTCGAAAGTGATCATGGAAATGTTTAGAAAGCTTGGCCACAGCCTGCTGTCTCTTTGGTGTCTGAGCTAAACTCAGGAGTCGCTGCCCAGCTTTCCTTTTATGTCTGTGTTTTGAACACTCTCACTTTAGAAGCAGTCAGTGTGCAGTAAAAAGCAGACCAACTTATGAATTGTCTGTTGAATAATACTCTTCTCGGAAGCTCCATTGACAAAACAACGTTCAGAATGTCCAAAGAAGAAGTACCCCCTCTTAGTCACGCATAAACATTGCTCAAAGACCGTGTCAGTGATATTCCTGTATGCACATCCGCACACTTGGATGGCATGGCGGAACGTGCTTTACCATCAAGGCCGTCAGATAGGGCCTTATAATCTGGTGTTTACATGTTCTTCCCCTGCTTCCCTGGGTTCTCTAGGTCGGAAATAATTTAGATAATCTTGTAAATGACCATGTGGCTGTGCCCAGATCAACCAATCACATTCAAACATGTTAAATGTGAGTCACAACGCAACCGTCACCATTAAAGGTGCCTCCGATTAACCCCAAATCACATTTAGCAGTTCTAGAAGGCGTTTCCTGACATTGTTATATTCACATCTTAAAGCACAAGCAATGGCCCCTAGCGTGAAGGTAAAAAAAAAATCATCATGAGAAGCAGTATAGAAAATGGATGGGTTTCCCTGCAGCATGGCCCAACCTGATGGAGGGTGGCTGCTCTTCAAAAGCAAAATGGTGTACTTGGGAGATCATGCAAGTGTTCAGATGCTCTGGTCTGTGCAAACAACAGAAAGACTACAACCTGTTTTCTCCTCTCTTCAGCATTCCGGCAGAGATCCACGGGGTTCAGATAACCTGTCAGCCAAGTCATCAGACAGTGATGTTAGCGACGTGTCCGCTGTGTCGAGAACCAGTAGCGCCTCTCGGTTCAGCAGCACGAGCTACATGTCTGTCCAGTCTGAAAGGCCGCAAGGAAACCGCAAAATCCGGTAGGCTGACCTCTGCTTTCGGGGAACGGTGAACTTTTTTCACAATAAACCCAACATGTTGTTTTCACAAGTGGACAAATCCCCCACAGCTGCAATGTTTTATTCCCGTATATGTTCCCATGTACAGACATTTTCAACACTGAAATTGTTTGTACCTGGGTGAGCCATAAGAGGAAAATGCACCCCATAGCATAACTGTGTCATTTTCTCACCCCACTGAGTTCAGGTTTGGCTCTGTTGTAGAATAATCTTGAGCCAAACAGTTGAACTCTGCTGCTTTTAAGCTGTGGGAGAGGCTTGTCCACAACTGGTGGTATTTGCCGAAATAATCCGAAGAGGTTGCATCATTTTGGTGTTTTTCGTATCAGATGAAGAAAAAAAAATCTTGCATGACACTCGGTAATAGTTCTGCATTTCTGTCTTCTGCTCTTGCTCTGTCAACCTTTGATCTTGGCTGCAATATTTCTGTGTGGTTGGCTTTAGTTTTGTCACTTGACACTTCTCATGCTTTTGTTTGGTTTTCTTTCTGCTGTGCATGTGCTGCTGTCTTGCCTCTGTCTCCGTCTACAGCCATTTGCGATCAAGGAGCCAGTCGCGGGAAGGGGATGAGCATTTAGTTGAGGTACTAGAAGAGGAAGAGACAGGCAAGAGAGGTGAAGGTGAAGGGACGAGGGTCAATAAAGAGGGGATCGTGCAGGGAGAGAGAAAGGGATCAAGGGACAAAGTAGACAAAGACAAGCAGCATCATGAAGAAATGCTGATGAAAGAGGACGACTTGCACCAGAGGAGTATCTCAGAGACTGACCTCAGGTAACAAGCGTGGCAGCCTCGAACCGCAGACTCCCACGAATCAATACAAACCTCGATTTACCCTGTTGCCCATTTACTTTTATGTGAGGCATCACCATTGCGCATGCTTCCTTCATGGTGGTGAAGCAAAAAAGTAGACATGAATGACAAAACCGCCAAATAAGTGTTACAAACACCAGAATTTAAGATAATGCCCCATCATGAAACCCAAGAAAGAGCTCTCAAATCAGTTTTTGGTGTTACTGAAAGACCCACAAAGCGACCTCAACCCTCCACATATAAATACTCTCAGCGACAATATAAGGTGTAGCTTTGTCAGCTTGAAACTGATCCATATTGACTTCAGCCAAAGTTCAAATGGGGACATTTCACTAATTATCAAACAATCTCCTTGAAATGATTTTTTTTTAAACGTGTGTGTCAGAGCAAGCACCCTCGTTATTTTGAGTACAGCACAATCAGCGACGGCCCCTTTATTCTGGCCACATGAGAGTCTTGCTATTTGACAGAAATAAAATGTCAAGGGCAAACCAGAACACGTGTATTTATAGTCCGAGAGAAAGGCTCCACTGTCCTAACTAGCAAGTCCAATTCACAGCAGGTGCCCCATTAGTTCTACTTCTCAACGCAAGTAATCCCCAGCATTTTACGGGCTCGAGCAAAACAAATTACAATAAAAGCAATGCGCCCCATTATGGTCTTTGCACGGCCCCAATGGCTGACAGGCTGACTGCAAAAACACATTTCAGAAGGAAAGATTCTGACCAAGTTAAAAGTAGTGTTCAGGTTGAAAGTCAACGGTCACCCAGGAATATAGATAGCTGTCCTTCGTTTTGACTTGATGGCTGCACTTTGTGTTCCTTCACTGTGCGTCTGTGCTGCTCAGTGTGCTGTCGGTGCTTTGTCCTAATCCCTTCCTGTTACTGTGTGCCTGCCACTCCCATTTTCCACAATAGCCCGCAACATTCCCCCAAACCACCCCAACTTGAGTTCCAGCAATGCCAGAGCCTTTATCATCGCACCTTCAGTTTACTTTCGGGAAAGAGCAAACATTTGTGTGCCAATATTTCAAATAAATACATGAGCAAATTAATTGTAGAGTAACATATCCAGTCACGCCTTTTTGCTTTCAAACGTAATTTTAAGATTTGACTGAAAGTGAGCCGGATGAACCTGCTTTGTAACAGATGGAAATTTTTCATGACGGCTACAGTATAAATTTGGGTAAATTGCTGCAATTTGTGCTTTTTTTTAAGAACCATACAATAGGTAGTTCATTATCAGAATTTTTTGTTTTCATATGATATAATTGACATGGAATCAAACAAAAAAGACATAGAAACTAAAAGTTATTTCAAAGAAAATGACCTGAGGAAAGTTTACAGATGGATGTTTGATTATAAAATGCGTTTTTCAGACAATCATTTCCAACATGGGTTACATACGTATGTCGAAACCAAAGCTATTCAGATGATCATTTTGGGCGTCCGAAGGCTAATCCTGATATACTGAAATCAACATAACTCAATTTGAGTTGTGCACCTATCAACCGGTATTTTATCCCACCACTTGAGTAAATTGGCCCATTTGCCCCAGGGTTAAGGGGTAAATTCTCCACACTGTGTTTCAGATCTTCAGATTTAGATCAGGGCTCTTCAGAAAATATGTTAATGCCAATATCTTAATCTGGGGCAAACTGTGCTGCCCGGTGTCACAAATCTTGGTCTCAGCCACAACTTTTGGGTCCTCCCAAAATACACCCCTAGAATGGCTAAAAACAAAATGTCAGAGTATTCTAAAGGGAGCCCTGTTCCAAATCCAATCAAGGCTCTGTGGAATGAGCAGAAACATGTGGTTTTAAGGCACCATTCAAACCTGAAACAGTTGGACAGTTGTCGACAGCTACACGGCTTACAGAAATCGGTAGATCTTACATGCTTGTTCAAGAAAATATGTTGAAAAGACAGTAATTCAGTTCTATTTTGTCTTTATTATTGTTTCAGACATAAAACAATGCGATATGCATCCAATTTTACTTCAGTAACTATTGTTATGGATGTTTTCCTTGTTCCTCGCCCCACTTGTTTCACAACATATCCATTTGCAAGGTCGTTATCATTCTTAGTAGGCAACGAAAATGTACTGGTAAACATCGATACAATGTGACAAATTTTCTTAGTTTCATTTGTACCCATGTAGAATATCCTCCAATTTACGGAGATCTTTTTTTTTTTTTTTTTTTTTTTTAAGGGAAAAATGTGTTTTTCTCAAGAAGTTACCATACTTGCAGACACCAAACCTATTAAAAGATTTTTTTTTTATGTGTAGCATTAATTTAAAAATAAAAAACATTAAAAAGGGAAAAAAATAAGCATTATTTCACACATTTTAATGCACACTGTTAAAATTCTATTTTAATAATTGATCCCAACTCTCCACAATGTGGAGAAGCAAAACGACTAACTTGAATGCTCTGCCATGTTACCGCACGCACATTAGCCTACACAATGAAGTAATTTACTGTAGGCCCGTATATTTGACTCATTCAGACCCTTCACATTATTCTTTCAATGACTGAAATCGGCCAGAACGGTATACGTCAAGGAAGATAGAGCTTGCCTCGAATGATAAAATGTTTGTTCATTGCTCAGCCATGCTCAAACCATGAAAGCACTGAAGCAGAGTGATACAACAGAAACATCGCTACAAGGTACATTTGCTTGTGACTCATCCCCTATGTATTCAGGTCACAGTGTAAATACACATCTACCCCGCATTGGCTTGGTGTGCAAACACCAGAAGAGCCAAATGTGGTTTTAGTCTTATGAGAACTTCTGTTTCACAGGGACGCAAAACACCCGACTCACTTACACGCCGACGTGTCCAGTTGTCTCCGAGATGAAATACGAGTTCCTTTGACACTTTTCGATCTCACATCTCATCTTCTTCGAATCTGTTTCACCATTGTCGTTTCCTTGGTAACGGTTCATTCATGTAAAAGAGTAAAGACCCGTGTTTTTAAGGCCGGGGACTCATCATTACTTAAAGGGAGGAGGGAATGTTTACTTAAACCCTGGTCTATCCGCACCATTTCAACAACAACTGGTTAAAGTTATATTTCTGGGCTGAATTATTTCCAAAGACAATTGCAGACTTTAGTTGGACTTTATTTCTCATGTACACCTTTTGCATAACTTAGGTATACTGTGTGGACAAGCTTGCATGACTATTTGCTTGGTTTAAGAGAATAGCAGGAACCGTATTTCTCTGCTCCACTGAATAACTAAGGGGTAACAAATGGGAAACAGTCCCTTATTTAGAAATTGTGTTTATTTTGAGATGACAATTTGAGAAAAGGATTGTTGGACATTTTGTCGATAAAGTCTTCCAATCTAGATTTCTGTCATTAAATTACTTTGCCGTCAGCTTTTCACTGCATCTTTTCAGTATATACAGGACATCCAATCTGAAGATCTCAGATGGAACTAAAGTTATGTCTTGGGAACATGTTGCCCAAGATGAAAATGCAGGTTACAAAATCCGCACGATCAGCATCATTCCATACCCTGGCTGCAGAATAAATCTGAAACCTTAAGACAGGCCGACATTTTCAAAGAGGCACGTTTGCTGTTTGGTGGGGGCCAAAACATTCACAGAGAAAATGGAACTCGATAAGGATAGGTACTGGATTTAATTTAATTAATTTATTTATTTATTTTTATTTTCTGGCAGGGGTGAATGGATCGGGGCGACTGATCTTGACTGCGACTGAATGTCAAAACACAGTGGAATTAAATCATTATGTAAATGTTGCTCTTTTAGAGCCTGGGGTGACGCATTGAAAAAGGCTCTATTCCAACAAACGCGTCACAAATCTTTTATTCAATTGCAATAATTACATAAGAGGACTGTGTCAGATGTCCCTCTGCTTCAGCAAAATATAGCTTATATTTCCCAAGAATAAAATCAAAGGGGGTTTATGCCACACACTTTGGTTTTAAGCCCTGAATGAGCTTGGCTTCTTCCGGGCCATTCATCTCCAGGCAAAATGACTGCATTATTCACAAGAGCACTCATGGCATATTGACAATTTCGCCGAATGGCATAAATCGTATCATTAAAGCGAATTCATCCACGTCATTACCTGAGCTTGATATACATTGCTAATATTAATATGCACAGTAATATATATATATAAATGAATGTATACTGTTCCTATTAAACTAGCCCCGAGGGCAGAGCAACTGAATATATGTAATACTCCGTTTCAAAAAGTTGGGGCAGTACCAATGGGTAAGCGGGAAAATGCAGATGTGAAAGGAATTTTTGAGTCTGTGGCTCCATAATGTAGCTTGGCTCTTTGTTACTGGCTCCAAGTCAGACTTCTGATCATTCAGAAACTCCAAAATTATATTGCTGAATCGACAATGGGTCGAAATATATTTTGTTGGCAGAATATTTAAACAAGTGGAAAAGTTTTCCCCGCCTCCTTTCACTTGCCTGCGCCTCCTTGTCATGGTTTCCTACAGCGGTGCCATTTGCCTTTTAAGACAGGTTAGTACTTTCGAAGCCTGGCGGAAAAGCGCACATGCTTGGCAGCAGTGATTTTTAAATCCTGAAATTAAACGGTGTCATTTCCCCTTCAGGAGCATGCTGCCACGTTGACTAGCAGATAGTGTTTACAAATACTGTATCTAAAAAAATGCTCGATGGACCAGATATAATCTAGCTGGCCAAGGTTTTTAGTCAGAAGTCCTTCCCGGCGTGTGGCATAAACTCTATTAACTGGGCAGATTCTTGTACGTTGCAGCTAGTTGATTCTTTTACACCATCACTACATTGGCTCAGTTTGACCAGAATAACATCCGTTTTGAAAGAATGGGTTAGTTTTCTTTACTTACAGAAGACTTCATTATTAGCCTGACAGAATCAGCATCATCTTTATTGGCCAAGTGTGTTTACGAAAACACGAGAAATCTGAATAAAAAAACGCCTCGAAGCATAATGATGCCACCATGCTTCATTGTAGCCAATGTATAGTTTGAGTGGTGAGCAGTGTTTTCATCTCTCAAAGATTTTTTTTGTTTGTTTTTTGTTTTTAAAGCAGTTGAGTTGTGATGTGTATATGTCGCATTAATGGTGGGGAGCAGCTTGGTCAATGTCTTTTATATCACAAAGTACAGGCATTTGAACAGAGGTGTGAGCACATTTTCGATCCACTGTATGTACAATGTGTGAGGCACGGTGTGTCCTGTTTTATTCATCCACTGAGTATTTTTCAGTGAACACTGCTGTGTGCTTGAAAGCTTTTGTACGTGCTACAGAGCCATGTTAGCCTTTGCCAATAGTGTACACCTCCAGATTCCCACCGAGGGCCCGGGAAATCTCGAGGCTCTCAGAATTAATCCACAACACTGTGGCACCGCAAGTATTCAATATTTATGGATAGAAGGTAGACTGATCCACAGCAGAACCCATCTGCACGGGCACCAACATAAACAGTTTTAAAAAGCAGAGTGAGTCGCTGTATTGTCCACATTGTGCGGATATCTGTCTTATTTCACCAGCAACAGGACAGCAACATGAGAAACAGCCACTCCTCAGTACCAGTCCGTACAGTTCCACAGATAGCTAGCGTGATAGGGATTAGCCTTTTTTCCAGTTTGAATGATCTGAACATCGTGCAAAATTACTTTGTATTTAATAGAGCAGATTTTGCAGAGCCCAATTCGAGTAATTGATGGAATTGGCCGTCAAACAACACGTGACTCTTTAAATACTCTCCCAAAAATGACAAAGATTAAACATTTTGAATTGTGATCAGCAGATAAAGGGTTCTACATGTAATCCATCTCATCAGCGATGCAAACCCCATGACGCAAAGCATAATTTGTCTCTTAAAGATAACATAACTGGATGAGCTAAAATAAGATCTTAATTTGGGATGTGGCCTAGATAGGAAGCACTCGACTTGTGAATTAATTCTCTTGGCAGACCAAAGTGTAGATCAGTGTAAGATATGAAAAGAGATCGAAAGCATGACTTGGTAAAAACACGATTAGTTTTAACCTTTATGGTACGTGGATGATATGGTGACCATGTAAACTGTAAAACTGTCAGTCTGGTAACCCACACGATGCTGCAGATTTTTCTAAATGCTTTCACGACACGTTAGGCTTTTTAAAGCTCTCCACTGAGTTTGGAAAGAGCAGATGACTAAAACAACTCACCGCAAATTTTCTTACTTGCCGTCTTGAGTCATATCACACATCTTCCACGTTTTGTCGCCAAGGTCAAGTTCTGCAGTGATTACTTTTTAAGCAGAGATGACTAACACTGACAATAGATATTCTTTGTGGAAAAATGAACCAGTAGCTTCCCAACTGTCCAGCCTACAATGTGCAGCCTATAGTTGAAAATTGTACCACATGTCAAATTCACCACACTTAGGCAGTCGTTTGGCATGCAGATCCACTCTGAGCCCGTAACTCATCTATACCGTAAGTCATGAATTCCTGTACCTGAACTCTGTCCTTCTCTCCTTTTTACCCCACACCTCCCCATCCCCTCTCACTCTCCTGTCATCCGCCCTTCTGCTTCCATCCTTCCCTTCACTTTCTGTCTCCCTCTTCTCTCTTATCACATCCTTTCTGCTGGCCTCTTCCTGTCCTTTGGCCTGTTCTCTCTTCTCTGTTCTCTCCTGTGTCCCCCCCACCCCCTCCTCCCCTGTCAATGGTGGTGGCTGACAGTGACTTTGCATCCAAAATGAAAAACAGGCAGATGGGCTCATCGGGCGGCGTGAATATGACGAAGAGCACCAGCATCAGCGGTGACATGTGTAACCTGGAAAAGACAGACGGCAGCCAGTCGGACACAGCGGTCGGCACGGTAGGCACCGACGACAAGAAGAGGCGCTCCAGCATTGGTGCCAAAATGCAGGCCATGGTTGGCATGTCACGCAAGAGCCGGAGCACCTCGCAACTCAGCCAAACAGGTAAGGCGCCGCCAAACATCCACACTGATTTGCAATATCTCTTTGTGTCTTATCAATGTGCATCTGTCCTGTGGCCCTTTTTAGTTGTGTTGCAGTGTGTCTCTTACAGTGATGTCCATACTCAATTTTACCCAACGCTTCTTTTTCCCAACTTTTAACATAGACAGGGTTTGGACTTGGCAAAGGCGAGATGAAGCCAACAACGTGACTTTTGCCTCATGTCTTCCTCTTTTCCTCTAGGCTAAGTCAACTCCTGGAAATCCCTCTACTGTTTCCTTCTTGTTATTATAAGTTTTATTCCGTTACTGCTTTAGAGTTTTCATGACGATGCCTGCTGCTTCGACAGAAATCGTTTATCATTTGTTTCTGTGTCACAGCTGTTTGAGCTTTGTTCTTGTTGCCAAGTTCCTGTCGTTGCTTTCAGTCTCGTGATGCCCATTTGAATATGATGTTGGCATTCATAAACGCTGCCTCATATTGCTTGTACGTGTCGGTGTAGTTGAGAAAATGTGTTCTGGTGTGATTGAAACACTGGTGGGTTTTTGGTTTGGTTTTTTTTTTTTAAATACGATTTCTTGGGATATTTATCTTTATTTATGTATTTATTTTGGGACCTGGTTCAGTTGTCAGTGGTATTCGGTATTAATTAAAACATGGTCTGGCTATAAAAATACCTGTAGAATAGTGGCTCTCACTGTTGCCCCACAGGAATAATGTGAGCAATTCATGTAAAATTCCAGTCATGAGTTTAGCTGGTTTTGATGTATTCAAGTAGTGTTCAGACAACAGTATTTCCATAAGATTTACACGTGCTCTGAATTTGCCTCTGAACTTGTAATTCCCAAGCTATTGATTTTGATTCAAATTGACTAAAGTGGGAGATGTCCTCTATTCTGTCAGTGTAATTTAAAATTAATGTGAGTACAACTGAATAGATAGACGAAGCAATAAATAAAAGTGCAGGAATAAGTGTGCATGCCTTCTTGCACAGCAACGTGTTACGCTGCTGTGCAAAGTATCATTGCTTACATCTGATTGTCAAATGTTGGTACTGTCGTAAACCAATAACCTCTGAGTTGTAATTCTTTACTAGCTGTGGCCCACCCATAATGACGTGCGACTCACTTTATGATCCTGACCAACCAGTTGCTAATCGCTGCTAAATGTTAAGTAATAAATGTATAATTAATGCTGCAATTACATTACACAGGTCCAGGCTTAAAAACATTATAGTTTTCATTAATCATCTTAATGGCTGACAATGGGTTCCTGTATGTATACTTAATGCAGACTTTCAGGGAGAGATGTCAGAGCGATGGGGAGCACAAATTGTGCTGTGCCCTAGAACTTCGGCGTCCAATGGAGCCTTGTTTTACTTTGTGCAGAGTCGTATTTCAACTGCCGATTTACAAACAGACCAAAACAAATGATTTAAAAAATACAACTCACCATTACGCTAAATATAGTTGATGTAAATCGTGAGAACCCTGCGCCGGTCTCATCTTCTCCCATCATCTTCTGTCATGGCCAGGCTGCAAAAAAATTAAGCACCTGTCTGTTCCATTATTTCTCTTTCCCTGGTGCTTTGAATATATTTGAGGATAAACGTGCATGTTTTGCATTTGACCATGTTGGCAGTCACATTTCTGGTGAAATACCTTGCAGCGTAGTATGGCAACACATGTCTTGTGACTTTGGTGTATGTTGTGTTATGAGTCAAGTTATCACCACCACATAATTGTTATCCAAAGATCATTGAACATAACATTTCGATGTCAAAGATGGAGCTTCACTTTGTGCTGCTGCCCTTGTTCCTTGCTGCCAGTCCCCTGGTCCCGCTGGTATGGATATTATAAGACTAAAAGGCCAAAAGAATAGCCGAAGCGAGTGAAACAAAGTCTTCTCCTCATCAACCACCATCTTATTTTCATACTCTCTGACCCGCGCAGATCTAACGCGTGACAACTGTGTTGCTTTGTTGGCCGGACATGTCGCTCCTCAAAAGAGCTTTAGGCGATGGCAGCAGACAGGCAAGATGAAAGTCGTCTTCAACTTGTCTGATTGGAAGACAAAATGCCCAAAACACGTGATTAGCGATTAGTCGATTTCAGGCTTTCAATGTTCATGCGAAGTAGTAAAGTCGAGTTGTCAACTAATCATTTCTACAGAAAATTTTGACAATCCCATTTACACCCTTAATTTTCATATCAATTGAACGATTACCAAGGAGGAACACACAACACCACCCAACAAAACCCCAAATTCAAATTTTTAACCAATAACACCCCAACACGAGGAAAGCAAGCGAAGTCCGCATAGGAGGGCCTGAGCTGAGAACATAGTACCTCTTGACTGTGATGAAGGTTTGCTAACTCCTTCAACACGTTTGCCTGGATTACACATTCTTAACAATATTTATAATATCAGCCAAACATAAAAAGAGCATTCACAAGTATTGGCTTGGATTGTGGAATTAAATGGAGGCCGACTGACACGGACCTCAGCCAGGCTGTACCCTGGCTACCAGGCCACTGTGTTTGTGTTGTGACTAACTTTGAACTTCCAATTTTATATTTTTAGACTTCTAACCACAGATCAAAAAAAAAAGACTTCCCCTTCCCCGCTTCTCTTCCAAAAGCTCTCAGTCAGTCAGGAAGCTTGATGAGACATGACCAAAAGACAGCGTGGTAAATTGAGTGCAACAGGGTGAGTGGGTTGCTGCTACATGCAATACTTACCTTTTCAATGGGCACCTGACATGATTTTCATCCATTAAGAGGTGTAATGATTAATTGACAATTAATTGATTATCGAATCAATAATTATTTTTGATCATCAATGAATTGCTTAGAGACCTTGTTTCATGAAAAATTGTCCAAATCAATGTGATTGAAGTCTCCAGACAGGATATATTCTCTGGTTGATGTAGTCATTCATGAAAGCAGACTTATTATATTTGTGTTGAATGAAAATAAGACATTTGTAAACATCTGCTTTTACTTTGGAAAGCAATGAGCAACCTTTTTTGAAATGTGACAGACCAAACCAGTGATTAAATCATATCAAATTAATCTTTGTGCATTTTCCACACTGCCAGTTTGAAATCATGTCCTGTTTTGGAATGAAGCGATGGTTCATTGATTAATCAACAAAAATAATCGACAGATTAATCAAGTGCCGCAATAAGTTAGTTGGAGCCCTACATCCATCCTCACAAAGTAAGAAATAAATAACCATTCGTTGGATTTCAAAATAATATGGTGTTCTTTCATGATCTACTCTTAAACTGTGAGATTTTAACAAACTATATAGAGTGACATTAAACATTAGACCAGTCCAGATCTATAAAAAAAGGTAAATGTAAACTTGCTACTAAAATTCCAACTAATTTAGCCTGATGCTGTCACTGAAGGGTTTTCGGTTTGCCACTAGACCTAAACATACTGTCATGGGAGGAGGGTGTAAAACTGCCTCAACATGAAGGCCAGCGTTAGAAAAAGTCACGTTTTAACTGCAAGTCTCGATGTGTAAGTGTGCGTTTGTGCGTGTCTGGCTGCTATCACTGCAGCGAGTTGTGTTTAAAGTGTCCAGGTCCAGAGTTGCTTGTTGACGCTCAGCATGGTTGAGTCCCTGGCCTCATCAATCACGATGATTTCTTCACTGCACTTCTGGGATGTTGCGCTCTTCTGCCGTTACGGTAGAACGGACAGAATTTTTTAGATTTTTGTCGTCTGAGGTGCATATAATTTCCTGTTATGTTGCCGCCCCTTTGGGACCACGTCACACTCTAACACTGTAGTGCTTACCTCTGTTAGTCATGCTGTTGTGAAAGCGCAGTGCAACTTCGGGGGTCTCCAAAATAAGGACTATGTTTCTTTTGAAGCAAAATTCAAGATCTTAAACCAAAGTTATCAGGTCTAAAGAAAAATTCCATGCATTCAAACTAACAAACTGGCTTTCATCAACAGCTCAATTCATTCCTTCTGCCTCCGTTATAAATAATCTGGTGATTAGCCTCAGAAACACCGAGGGCTTGAAAAACAGCAGTACAACGTTAGGCAAAATAATTGTCACCTTTAATGAGGTGAACACAACGATTAGCAGTACATCTTTGCAGCAGTTCTAATTACGTTGTAATCCTTGAGACACGTGTCACGTTCGGTACGTGTTTTCCTGGAAATCTCGTAAAGCCCATCTCTTGTTCCGTCCATGTGCTGATGTGCAGTAGGTGTATGGGTAAGAATAAACTTCGCAAGTGCAAAAGTTGAAACATCACGTGCCGTATGTGTTGTTTGAGTAATGCCGTCTACTTTTGCCACGTGTCCTTTGACGCACTTGGCGGGGGAGACTGAGACAGATGGGAGACTAATTGTTGTATCTTTCTTGCTTGACTCGGATCATTACTTTGTTCTCGCTGTTGTTGGAACAGCATATTGCCCCTATTTCTTTCACTGCCTCGTTTCAGTGACCACTCTAACCGCGATTCCATCTAATTCTAATCAAGTATACTGCATGAAATTCATGAACCACAGTAATCAGGAGAAGGAAACTGTAGTTTAAAGGTCCAGGATCATTTTGACTATGGTACATTCATTTGGGAATGATAAAGCATTCAGCTTACCTATGTGATGTAAATGACTTGACGTTTCCATTTAAATTCCTATTTTTCACCCCTCACTCATCGTCAATGTGTCAGAATGATGGGAAACCAAATGAAGCGAACTTTCATCGCAGGTTTAATCCACTCCACAGCCAAGAGTATTGGAACAGTGAGCCCAATTCCTTGCATTTGTGCTGAAAACACTTGAAGACATCAGAAGAGGAATAGGAAACAAGGGATCACCAGTTCAACCTTCCCTTTACATCTGAACTGGTTACACAGCTTAAAGCGAGGGCTGCTCACGAGCCCAAACATACAAGCTCACCTGTGAAGGAGTAGAGATAATGTCATGGGCTCGGCTTCCGTCTGCTTCTTCTTTTTCATTGATGACAATACAAGCTGGCAGCGGTAAAATGAATTCAGAAATGTACAGAAACATTCTGTCGACGACTTTCAAGAAACAAGTGTTCGGGATTCATCCTGCAACTATCTTATTATGCCAAGCAAAACAACAAAGACGTTTTGTTCATAAGAGGAAAAAAGCAGAAGGTTTTAGACTAGCCAAGTCAGTCTCCAGACATAAACCCTATAGAGGATGCATTTAACTTGTTAGGGATCTACTCGCAGAACCCCACCAAGAAAAAAAAAAAGAACTTGTGATGAAAGCCTGGAAAAGAATCGCAGTGGAAGAATGCAAATGTTTTTTGTTTTTTTTATATTAATGCGTCACAGGTTTGATGCAGTTATTGCAAGCAAGGGATTTCCCTGTAACCTGAATGAAGTCTTATTCATTTATTAAGTCTGGGTTCCAATACTTTTGATCACCCATAAATGAATCTTGAGATGAAAACACCAGGCAATTAAAGCTCAAAGGTTTATCTCTTGTCTTATGATTGCTTTTTTTGGATGTCAAAGCCAGAAGTGTTGGGCTCACTGTTCCACCACAATTAGAGGGGAGAGTCGATGAACAACCAAATATTGATCCAATTTAGAAAATCATTACGATTGAGAATTTTGAGAGAAACATGGGTGAGTGCTGAATGGCATGGCGAGGATTCCAGTAGAATCTTTCCGCTTTCAGCACATCCGGGTTAGTCGCAGCCAGTTCGAAACTCCATCCGGTTGGGCGATGCGAAAGTGAACTGGGGGGGCTGTCGGACCGACTCTTTCCAACCGCCGGAGAAGTTTGAGACCAACCAAAGTGCACCGTGTTGTTCTTACAGGAAGCAGACTCGAGCTAGGGTGCAAGTGGATAGGCCTTCACAAAGAAGCACAAGAAGAGGAGCCATTAAATATGACCCAGTTACGGTTGTAATGTTACTCTGTTTTGTCCAACTTCCCACAGATGTGCGAGCGTAGAGTTGTGCTGACCCAGATGAAACCTTAAGTGGCACACTTGTGGAAATAGGTTGCCGCATCTCACAGGAATAAACGTTTGCATTAATGCTCACGCTTCAAGGAGATACGTGTTATTGTAACATTATTTCCAAAGGTCTTTTTTTTTTTTTACCTAGCACTGCCTTGTCAGTGCAATCAGCAATGGGATATTTTCTTATTTGCTTTATTAACGTGCGACAGTGGCCATTTAGCAAGTGCGTGATGGTTTGGCTTTCAAAACCTCATGTTGAAGTAGCATTTAGCAAGAGATTGAACCTCTTGTGCTTGGGATGTCAGCCATTTACCTTCCATGTACAACACTCATTGTTGGAATACGGAAGTGAACGTCACGTTTTGACTTCAAGCTGTATGAATTCAGACCACCAGGGAAGTCTATTCAAAACAGGTTGACATCGGATCGCTGGATGTCTATCCAAAAGGGTTTGGATACGTTTCACACTAATTTAAAGAGAATGAAAGAGAACGTTTTTGTGGCGATGTGGTACACGATCGATCAAGTGAACAAGAGGCGAATGATGGATGGTAGATGACGTTTTTAGGTTAAGCATGTGAATGTGATCATCGTCTGGAATTCTCATTTCGTGCAAACAAAATTGCTCCCAAGTCAACACAGCTGTGTTATGATACTTAATGGGAGGGAGAACAATCAAAGGAGCAGAAACTGGCACGTGCAATTGGAGTGGCTGCTATGTGGCAAGGCAGCTGGCAGGCAGACTGACAGCTTGTTTTCTCTGGCCTCTGTGGATAGCATGGGGATCCGAGGGGATCGTGATACCAATGATGGAATAAAAAAAATACTGATGAATATGAATGAAAGTATCAGCGATGAATAACGCAAAGAAAAAAAACAGTCGTCACAATGGGCAGGCAGGGGCATGATTCCTCTGCTCCGGCTGCTGGGATGCGTATACAGCGCTCCCAGAGTAAGATGAGCTTGTCCGCGTCGTTTGAAGCGTTGGCAGTCTACTTCCCCTGCATGAACTCCTTTGATGAAGACGATGGAGGTAAGACGATTCTGAGGGATGCTGTGTGTGAGGGATTCACCGCCGCGCTTCAGTCAGCAATGTGCCGCGGCTGTGAGCTACATGCAATTCTGTGCATCGTTTCGGCTATTGATTTGTTGTGAAATCCTCAGCTCATGGAAAACAACAATTTAGGACGTGGAATGAGTGAGTGCTTCTAAGTGGGACAAATAAAGGATATCTAATCTAATCTAAGTGACTGTGTGGTAAAGATCCTACCGGTTGGATTTACACATTTGAAGTATTTGTAATGCAGAACAGAACTCATGAATCACTTTCAAACTACTGCGTCGCAAAGATCCTACCGGTTGGATTTAAACATTTGAAGTATTTGTAATGCTGCATTACTAATGCAGAACAGAACTCATGAATCACTTTCAAACTAATTATCCAATCCAGTACATTTCGGATGGGGTACATTGCCGTTGCCAACAATGCACAGGCTGCTTACAGTTTTGGATCCATTCTCAAGTTGCTCTGCGGAATGCATTGCAATGTTGTGACTCAAATATCCATTTTAAAACACCAACTCATGCTGACTTTGTTTTTTTTTTTTTTTGTTTTTTTTTAATGTGACTAAACCAATCAATCTTGAAACAAGATGCAGAGATGTCTTGCTGTGTGATTAAAACTGGTGACACACCACTATGCTCAACGAAAAAACTGTTTGGCCAGTAAATGGGTATTTTGGGGGACCCGGCACCATGTTTTGGGTTCGACTTTCAAAACTCTCCAACTAAATCTCTGGGATATGAGCTTTAGTTTATCACCAGTGTTACATTTGAACTACATGCTTTGGAAGCAAGTATTGAAAAATATGTATTAAAAACCCCCCTATTCATTGGTTCTGGTAGCCAGCCTACTTGTGCGTCATTAATATTCACATTTATGCCAAAGGTGACTTGTGAACGTTATACGCTGTTGGCACTCATCGTGCAATTTATTTTAGATTTGTTCATAGCGAGAACGCTTGCAAGGAAAAGTTTGCAAGCTATTCAGTGCTCGTTGTTGTTGCATTTCGCGCAGCGATATGACTAATTTTCATACTTGCAATGTCATCTTGAGCATTTTAAATGGGCCTGCTCTTGTGTTGATTGTATTTTGTGAGCACCGTAAATGTTGTATGAAATAATACTGTGCGGTCACATTATTCTGAAATGCAATCGAAGGAAGCAGGGGGACAAGAAAACAAAACGGATCATGCAGATATAATTGGTTGATTCAATAAACACAGCAAGCGTATTACTGTTTCAAAATAGCACTCATCGATGACATCCAGCCAGACATCAAAGAATCTGTCACTGTTGCTCGGCTTGAATGGTGCTGTGAGCAGGATGATTCTGAAATAGGATGGATACAAACTTACAGCGGCATATATTTAGCTGTGCGTTCATCTTAGTCGAGGTACGTCTGACACGTGTGCTTCCATGCAGGCTGGCAAATGTGAACATACGAGTTTCCAAGCTGATGGAAGCAGTCATCTGTCATGTTCGATCAGCCAGATGAGGCAGATGTCAGATATTTCTAGGGGAGTAGCTCCGAGATTTTCTGGTGTGACGTGAAGCCACAGTTTATTTATTGATTTATGGATGTATTTATTGTTGGTGTGTTTGTCAAACTGAAACTCCCAGTACAGCAGATGATGCTGTCTATGATGCAAGGGTGCATTTGTGAAGTTGTGAAGGTGTCTTTTGTGTTTAGTTGTATGCATTATTGCAGTAATTCAATCCCAAAAATGACTGAGCATCTGTCTGTCTGTCTGACTCCCTCTTTTTTTTATTTTCTCTTGTGCTGTCTTCTCTATTGTGTATGCAGAAGCAGGGGGCAAGAAGTTGCGCAGCACCATCCAGAGGAGCACAGAGACGGGCCTGGCGGTGGAAATGAGGAGTCGGATGACTCGTCAGGCCAGCCGAGAATCCACAGACGGCAGCATGAACAGCTACAGCTCCGAGGGAAAGTAAGCAAACAAAGCCCCGCACTGTATTTTATTTTGTCGTCGTCCCAGCACCCGAACTCAATCCAGCTGCTTACCTCCTGTTATTTGACATGGATATACAGTATGTTCATCACCACGGTAACAAGTGTGTATTTGTGGTCTAGTCTCATCTTCCCTGGAGTGAGGCTGTCCTCAGAAGCCCAGTTTAGTGACTTCCTGGACGGGCTAGGGCCCGCCCAGCTCGTCGGACGACAGACGCTGGCTACACCACCAATGGGTAAACACAAGAATCTTCCTTTCGCCGAAGCTAATGTGGAGGAGCTTTCTGCTTCTGCTGCTTTTGCCCATCTTTTTAAATGTGCACCTTTGGCATGTTTTTTTTTAGGCGACATCCAAATCGGCATGGTGGAAAAGAAAGGAGCGCTGGAGGTGGAAGTCATCAGAGCTCGTGGCCTTGTCGGAAAACCAAATTCCAAGGCACTGCCAGGTAAGAGCAGGCGCGATGTTAACAAATAATGATGACAATTCTCTTGGTGTCTGAAAGTAACTTATGTTGTTTGCCCCTTTCCTCCCAGCACCCTATGTTAAGGTCTACCTTTTGGAAAACGGAGTCTGCATAGCCAAAAAGAAGACAAAAGTAGCAAGAAAAACCTTGGATCCTCTTTACCAGCAGCAACTGCCGTTTGAGGAAAGCCCCGGAGGGAAAGTTTTACAGGTGAGAAGAGAAAAACAGAAAAACGCAAGTGCATAGCCTGAGCTTGTCGCATCCATTTGACTCACGTATATGATACGACCACTTTTTAGGTGATAGTCTGGGGCGACTATGGACGTATGGACCATAAATCATTCATGGGAGCAGTTCAGATACTGTTAGACGAGCTGGACCTGTCCAACATGGTGATCGGCTGGTTCAAGCTCTTTCCTCCCTCCTCGCTGGTGGACCCAACTCTCGCCCCCCTGACAAGAAGAGCTTCCCAGTCCTCACTGGACAGTTTCTCACGGTCATAGCAGCGTGCGGACTGACAGCGTTGTTGTAGCAGCCAGTGTTGCGATGACAGGTCACGCCCCCCGGTTACACTGCATGCTTGATGTTGTGTCTTCTGAGCCTGTTTCTCGGGGTGCAAATGTGATCCTGTGTTTTGAGCAAAAACGTTGCACACGCGACGCACGCGGCGAAGCGCATCGCAAGCGTCTGGCGGCCAAGGATTGCCGGGCGATGTTGTTCTTGCTGTTGGAAGGAAACTGGAATGAACTCCTTAGCACGAGGAATCCGTCATATCCAGGTTTTCGTCCAGTTCGAAGCCATGGGGGTCAGCACTGGGAACCGCGAAACGAGTTCTACAGAAACCCTTTTTCGAATGAAAAATAAACGTTTGGCTTTGATTTTCAGTTTTGGATTTGTTTTTATTTGTTTCTTTTTCCTGTCGTAGGTTTTTTTTTGTTTTTTTTTTTTAATGTCTGAAGGGAGTGACAGTGGCTTTTACCACCAAATACTTGGTCATGCCCCGCCAATCGGCCTAGTTGTAGTGAGCTTTTTTTGGACCATTAAATAGGATGAGTTTTGTCCCAGCTTGAACCCACACTTCCCCAATTCCGAAAAGAAAATGGCCTGCAGACTTTTGGTATGTGCTCAACCAAACTCCCGGAGACTCACCAGACAGCATAAATCAAGAGGTAATATTGCCGTGGCTACAAATCACCAATAATGAGTCGTCAAAACTCCGGTGAAAAGATGTGCAATCTACCATCTTTGTTTCATTCTTTCTCTTTTTGATATAAAGTATGAAAAATGTTTCAGAAAAATATATTTTCCCTTTTTAGTTCATTTGCATGAATACAAATTTAGCTGAGTACTAAAAAAAAAAAAAAGTTTTTTTTTTCTTAAGGCTGTCACTTGCAAAAAAGATGAAAAAGAAATCGAACAGATCAGCCATTTCCAACCATTTTGTATTCTTTTTAAAGATGTGTTTCATTAGTGCATGGTTGGAGAATGAATGCAACATCACGATCAAGAGAAAAGTCATTGTTTATCAGTCCTGAGACCGTTCCTTCATGAGTCAGTAAGATCATGGAAACAAAAGGGACATTTTGGAGTACAGTATTTAACAGATAATGTTTTATGAGACACACATAAAAAAAAAAATAATAATGACAATAAATGTAAATGACTTATTTCATGGTGAAAAGGCTGAGATAAAGATTATGTGAAAATTGTACATGTTTCTCTTTTTATTCCTTCTCCCAGGGTACTTCACATTGTACTGTTCATTTCTACCAATGTCCCCCCCCATGTAGTGTCCGGATTAGCTCTGGTCCAGATCTGGCGATCTTACAGTTCTTGATTTGTTTTGGTATGCAATTTAGTTCTGATTTGATTTCTTTAACAAGCATGTTGAAAAGGATTCTCTGCAACATGGCTTGGGCACACCTTAAAGTAACTCAGCATGTTTTGATATAAGATGATATTTGGAATTTTTGCAGTTTTCTTGTACAGTGCATGTCAACGTCGTTCATTTTTCTCCCTCACGTTCAATTCATTGCGACACCAAATTAGTTTTCAGTCATCCAATGACCAATTATAGAAGTTTTGAACCAAACATTCCACTCCCAAGCCCATATTATCTTTGGGGATATTGAAGAAAAAAGTGACAAGGAAAATATTTTCTTCTTAAGGGGGTTGAGGAGGTTTGATGACAAGTATATTTGATTTCGGTATTGTTGACAAACTTCCAAAATATTCTGTATTGGTACAGCAAAAGGTCAATATGTAATCAAGAGGAAGCAAACCTGCAAAATAAAGATGTGTTGCTGCAGTTCCATACAAGCACTGTTTAGGAGATGAGCTCATCACAAGTTTAAATGAGATGGAATATTGCCACAGAAAATGCTTTTGTTCTTTTTTTCATGAAAAGGACATTGATTTCATATATTTTTGTTAGTTTTCTTTTCAAAGCCAAGACCTGATTATTTTTTATTTTCTATTTTTAGTAATAATCAAAATGTCTAATGTCTGATAGGTTAATGAATCGCATAGCTGCAGTTGTGTCTGAATGAAAATGTACTGGGGCATTATTCCTTTATCACATGGAGATGTCCAAGGATGTTTTTTTTTTTAATTTTTATTTTCTTTATTTTTTTTGCTGTCACAGTCTGCAGTCTATCTTCTAATTTTGGATTTCCCATTGTACATACATACATAGATGTCAGATTTTAAATAAACACAATACCGTGATGACACTTCTGGAGCAGGAAAAATGCCTCACATGATGAAAAAGACATGTAATTTATCCTTTTGACTGCCTTTAAGTTTCTCTTTCTTTTTGTGCAATGTGTTCATGCCAAGGCTTGTCTTGGTTAACAAGTATGGTTGAGTACAGAGATTTATGTAAGTTATTTTTCAAATTAAAAATTAAAAAAACATGATATTACAGAAAATGCTGATTGTTGTGTGATTATCGGTTTTAGCGCAAATACACCCACACACCACATCCTCTTTTAACTTGCTGGTTTCTTCACAAACCGAATTAACAGTGGGGAAAATTGTCACCCATCCATCCATTTCCTATGCCGCTTTTCCTCATTGTGGTCATAAGTGAGCCTTTTCCAGCTGACTTTACGCAACAGGTGAGCTACACCCTGTGCTGGTCTAAAGCATCCACGGAAAGGATGTGATCCCATCCCAACAACTCCCATGAATATTTCTACGCACGCGATCTTGTAATGAGATCAATACAACGTTGTTGCAGAACAAGCTGCTTTAGTGGTAGCCATCTCACCGGTGTACATTTTCACAATTGACTATTTTGTTGAGCATTATGTATATCAATTGTTTGGTTTGGCTTCTTTTTGTTTTTGTTTTCGGGTTTAAGCACACGTGGCAAATGCACTTGATTCTTGTATTGTACATAACAAAGTGTTTGAAAAGGTGGCAATTTTTTTTTTGTTGTTGTTGCTGCTGTCAGCTCAGAAGGCTCGTCCATCCATCTATCCATCCATTGTTTGATCTGCTTATCTTCACAAGGATCGCGGGGGGGCTATCCCATCCAGTAGGCGGAGGACACTCTGAACCAGTTGCCAGCCAATCGCAGGGCACACACAGACGAACAACCATCCACGCTCACACTCACACCTAAGGACAATTTAGAGCAGGGGTGTCAAACTCAGGTCCTGGAGGGCCACTGTCCTGCATGTTTTCCAAGTCTCCCTGTTGCAACACACCTGATTCAAATGATCAGATCATCAGCAAGCTCTGCAGAAGCCTGACATTGAACCTGTTCATTTGAATCAGGTGTGTTGCAACAGGGAGACTTGGAAAACATGCAGGACAGCAGCCCTCCAGGACCTGAGTTTGACACCTATGATTTAGAGTGTTCAATCAGCCTGCCATGCATGTTTTTGGAATGTGGGAGGAAACCAGAGGACCCGGAGAAAACCCACACAGGCCCGGGGAGAACATGCAAACTCCACACAGGGTAGCCGGAGCTGGAATTGAACCCCGTACCTCTGCACTGTAAGTACGATGCGCTAACCACTGGTCCACCGGGCCGCCCAAGATGGCTCGCGTGACTTAAAATAATTTGAGGCCTTTGGTGCCAATATGGCAAATATACAAATACAATACAATCCAGATTTATTGAGATGGTGCTTTCACAACACGTGCAGTTGGAACAAAGTGCTTTGCATGACATATAAAACATCAACAATAATAGTTGCCTGACTCTTCTCTTACAAATACAACTACAACTATGGACTACTCACATGGCTCGCCTCATGTCATTCAGACCTCATGCTCATCTTTGGGAAGCTCCTCACGTAAATTTGTTGAGTCCAACTAGCCAAGAAAATGTCAGATTGGAGACATTAGACAAAATAATGATTCTGAATTCATTCCTCGGTGTTTGCAAAGCCGCAGAAGACACTGTAAATCTGTCCAATTCCATGTTCCATCCACTTCCCCAAGAAGTTAACTAGCATGATTTGTAACCTGCTGGCGAGATTTTTGCATTCCACAGCATCAGGCTTCTGCAAAAAATCTCCTCAGACTCAAATGGTGCTGAATTCTGTCCCGCACGTGAGCAGGCACCGCTAGATTAAAGAGCTCAAAGTAGTTTAGTATCTCTCGAGGCCGCTGCGCTCCCATCTGTTTCTCTACAAGTAGTTTTGGCAACCCTCCTCTTTCACAGTCGTTTGTGTTGTGAGCCATTTGCGATCATTACCAAATATTTATTAGCCTTTTGATGACCATACAACCAGACATGGGAAAAATATTTAAAGACAGAGTGAGTGTGTAGGTGGGATAGGCCTGAAAAAAATGACACTGTTTTCCAGGGACGGGGTGGCCATCAGGAATTATGAGAAAATATGTGAACGTTCCTTAACGGACAGCATTTTTCCGGGTGTTATATTTTACGGCATGTGTCTGCCGCACCCTGTCACCAACTACGTTTCGGCGCACAACGGCCACACCTGGATCCATATATATATATATATATATATATATAAAATCCTCGTCTCACCTGTCGGGTGGTATGTGTATCTGTATATATATCCATCCATCGTCCAAGCCACTTATCCTCTCGAGGATTGTGGGCGTGCTGGAGCCTATTCCAGCTGTTTTTACGCAATAGGCAGATTCCACTCCGAACTGGTTGTCAACCAATCACAGAGCACACATACACAAACAACCATTCACACTCATGATCACACATCGGGACAATTCAGAGTCTTCCATTAACCTGCTGTTAAGATATCATTCCTCTCTGTTAGTTGGATTTGAAAGAAACAATGTAGAATGCTGTTGAAGGTATTTCCTGCTTACTGTGATTACAATCACCTTTGGTACCCCCTCACCCCCACCACTTTTAGGACCCCTCCAGACGACATGTCAACATCAAAAGAGGAACTGTTATCTCTAGTTTCTGTGTTGCGGCTATTGAGGCACTGCGCCTTACTATGAGTACTGTTGATCCCAGTCTCTTTCCTGAACATCTGTTTGCACACTTAAAACAACGTATGTAGTGTTAAAATTTATCTTCTTCCTCCTTGGTTGATTAACGGCCCCCCAAGTGTATTCTGTTGTCCCCCCCGCACCTTGGGTTGGTCCCTGATTGCTGTTAAGCCCCCCTGGGAAGACCTCTTATCTCAGGCTGTATGCACAGCGGGGGTTCTGGAACTTGCCATCACACCAAATGGTGGGTAGTGGTGGTTTGGTCTCACCTCACCACTTCCAACTTCTTCCAGCCACACCGGATCAGATGTCATGTTACTTTCTTTTGTTTCCAGGATTTGCATGAGAGGCGTCCCTCCCCGCCTCTCATTATCATATTGTCTCTATATAATCTCATGAATGTGTTTATTCTACGCTTCCTGATTGAAATCTGGACCCCTCAGGAGCCCGAATCGATTCGTAAACTGCAGAAAAATAAATTAAACCCTTCGAAGTAACTGTTCCTCGCCTCTGAGCCTTTATTTGGATTACCAACATTCTCCTCGTCCGAAATTCAACAAACATGCGGGGAAGAGGAGGCCGCTCTTCCCCCAACACTGCCAAGCAAGTTTTTGGAATGTGGGAGGAAACCGGAGTACCCGGAGAAAACCCACGCAGGCACAGGGAGAACATGCAAACTCCGCACAGGAAGGCCAGGGACAGATTTGACCTCAAGACCTCTGCACTGTGAGGCAGACGTGCTACCCAGTCGACCACCATGCAGCCTCACGTTAACACACTAGTCAGTTATTCATATACAGACTACAGTAATGTATTTTTTATTAATTGAGTATTATTATTATTATCATTATTATTAGTAGTATTATTATTATTATTATTACACATAAAGGGGACTTGAGTGACCCATTTGCTTGAGTAGTAGTAGCTGTATTAGTCATACCAGCAATGCATTGTTTCTGCAATATTTGCTATCCATGTTTGGAGAACTGATTACATTTGGTAAAAATAGACATTGAATTTTACGATGACTGATTGCTGTTAAATCAAATGTCACTCCATACCCCCCACATCCACCTCATCCTCATTACTTCCTCCTTTTTTGTTTGAGAAAAAAATGACTGTATAGCGCTGTGACGAATGACTGTGGTTTGTAGCCACATCCTGTTCCAGCATTATTTAAGGCGACAGCTAACAACACACATAATAATAGATGCCCGGGTCCACGTCTCAGGTTCGTACTTCACAAACAACCTAATATACGGCACAGCCATCTGATTAATCTCACCCCAGAGCACTTCTTTGTTCGGATTCGTAGGACTGTGGACAATGATCAGCAAGGGCCTGATTGACATGAGGATATTGGCTGTGGATATTTTCACCAGCGGTAACAAAGAGGGCTTCAGGAGAAGCGCCGTCCTCTTCCTCATGTGTGTCTTCCTAAGCCTCCTCCTCAGTGGCTTACTCGTCCTGTACCTCCTCTATACTCTGACTTGTGAGCCATCAGTGTCCGGGGGGATTGCCGCCCTCCATGGGGTCCTGTTGACATTTGCCCTCTTCCTGTCAAAGAGAGTACGATGCTTGTTCACGCTATTTGTCATTTCCATTTTCACCAAGAAGAGTCGCAGTCTGCTGCTAACCGCTGGGACAAGTGTAGTTGTCCTTGGGAATATTCACAACACTTTGGAGAACCTCACAGGCTTGGTCAGGAGCCTGATTTGTAACCTGAGGGCCAAGAAAACAGCAGTCATTGCTCCCTTCAGAAACTATGTGGAGATGTTGAAATGGCTGGCTGATATTTTGCTAGGGGTGACGGATCTCGGGGTGGTCAAGCTTGACTCCCAGCTCAAGATTTCACCTCAAGTGAACTTGGAAAATTTTCAGGAGAGACTCACCCAAGCCGAATTAAAGCTGAATCAAAGTGTCAAATATGCAGTGACCTTTATAAACACAGTCTCCTCTGTGAAGGAATGCATTTATCCTATCGTCAGCGTCTTGGTGCTCATGATCTTTATAATACTGCACGTAAGAAATTACTGCAGTGACATGAAGTACAAAAATTCTTTCATCAGCGACAAATTCATTGACTTTGACAAGAAGCAGAAGGCGGAAGGAAAGCAACACGTGCTCCCTCTCACGTCGGAGGAGGAGAAGCTTTATCCGTCCATCCCTTCCCTTCGTCCCACCGCCCAGGAAGGAAAAGCTCTGCTCAAATTTGGCATTCCGGTCATCTACCATTTGGTCATCTGGGTCGTATTTATAACTGTGGATGCCTTGTTGTACTATTTTGTTGCTGTTATAACAACTAAGCTCTCAGAAATGGAACCATTCCACGTCCCTCTGCTGCTGAGCCTCAAAGTAAGTCCTTTGATTAAATTATGAGTCCAACGTCACAATATATTTATTAAACACTATGGCAGATCACTTAAATGCATACTCACACACAGTAAGCCACTATTTCATTGATATTTATTGCACTTCTGATT